AGGTACTACTGTTGGCTGACATTGTTGTTTGTATTTTGAGAATGTAGGACCCCGTTCTGGTGTCACTATGATAGGGCAGCCACAGCCCAAGCATCCATCACCCGCCGCTCAAGTCCCTTTTTCCTCCTACTTTGTTCTCACCCTCCCCCTCGCTCTCTGGATTCCTCAGTTCTATAGGCAGATTTTCAAGGGTTATGCTTTAAGTTTGGCTTCACCTGACCCTTTGTTTGGTTTCACCATATGGTATTTATCTTTGTCCTTCTGACTTATTTCACTTACCACAGTCCCTCCAGCTCCATCCATAAGTTTGTCTTTTTGGTTGCTGAGTAGTATTCCACTATGTATCTATACCACATCGTCTTGTTCCACTCATCAGTTTTTGGGCACTTAGTTTATTTCCTTAGCTTGGCTATTATAAATAGTGCTGCTATGAATATGGGAGTGAATGTTTCCCCTCAAATTAGTGTTTTTGTATTATTCCTATATTATGCCTGTATTCCCAGGAGTGGACTTGCTGGGTCATATGGCATAGCTATTTTTAATCTTTTGAGGAACCTCCATACCATTTTCCACAGGGGCTGGGCCAGTCCACATTATGACCAACAGTATAAGAGGGTTCTTTTTCCCTCTATACCCTCACCAGCACTTATTGTTTCTGTTCTTTTTTTTTTTTTTTAAAGATTTTATCTATCTATCTATCTATCTGTCTGTCTGTCTGTCTGTCTATTTATTTATTTATTTATTTATTTATTTATTTATTTATTTATTTATACAAGCACTGGGTACAGTCAGAAGCGCGGGAGGGTGAGAGAATTCACCAGAGCCAGAGCGGGGAGCAGAGCAGGCAGAAGGACCGAAGTACACTGCTGAGGGGAGCAGTGGGCGGCAGGAGAGGTCTGCGCGCCATGTGGGCCCCTCCTCCGGTGGCTGGGGAGCAGCTGGGGATGGAACCGGTGCTGCAGAGGCTGCTGGCTGATTCGCAACCCAGCGCTCAACCGCTGTGCCACCGGGAAGGCCCTGTTTCTGTTCTTTTTGACATGGACCATTTTCAGTGGAGTGAGGTGGTATCTCATTGTGGTTTTCACTTACATTTCCCATAAATGTGCATAACCAATCTCTCATGCTACCATTGTCTTCCACTGCCGGCTCCACGGCTAATGCTCTCCTCAGGGCCAGTTTCATGGGATATAGCGCAATTGCAATGGACCCCAAGTTTGGAAGGGCCCAAGCTTGATTAAATGCTGTTGTCTTATAAGAATTCTTAATTTTTGCACAAGGGACTCCACATTTTCATTTTGTATTAGGTTTTGCAAATTATGGATCTAGTTTTGTTTGGACTCTGAAAATTTGCTCTAGCCTGCCCTGTCACATGAACATGTTATTCCCCTCCAATTCTGAACCGTATTCTGCATTTCCCTTTCTATTCCACTGTGCACGACACCCTCATCTCACTCTGGTTGTCATTCTGTTCAGGGCTGCCGTGCTGCCCTCACCCAAGGTTTCAGGTTCCTGTTCTCTGACCCCACCCTAAGGGCTTTTGGACTAAATTATTTAGGAAGAAAAAGAGATTAAAAGAACGATTTAGAGTATTTTATCCCTTGGATTTTTTGCAGCTATACTTTGCTGTTGATGGGAGTAAGATTCTTATTCCTTTGGTAAAATTCAGTCCTACACAGTGTATTCTAATTAGAGCAGGAAATGTGGTACGGGGAGAGAGAATCCTGGCCCAGAAGCCAGATGCCTGGTTCACTCTCAATCCACCATTAGGAAACAGGTGACTTTGTGCATCTAGTTTCCTTTTGCTGATCCACTTTTCAGGCTTCTGTAAAACTGAGACAATGATGCCTATTTTACAATATTCCTCAGGAATTGACCGTAGTATTATATGCAAAGTATTGGACAAAAGTTAGCTCTCTCTAGCCACCAGAGAAAATAATCAAGGAAGGAAGTCAATTTGCATAAAATCATGCAGACTATAAGCTGCTGGCCCAGACTGACATGTTTGTCTGTTTATTTGTTTATCCCTGGCTTGACATTCTTTCAGTTGCACCACTGCATATCAAGAATACTTTCTCAGGAACCCTCTGAAAATGTGCCTGTCTCCAGGAGTAAACAAGGGAAATCAGGCATCCTGTGAGTTTCTTTTTTTCCAGGAATGTTGCCATATTCCTTTGTTCTAATTCAGTTTGTTCCTAACCCAATGAAGCAACATCACAACTTACTGTTCTTATTTTTTACTGCTCCCCCCTCCCCCCCTTAAATGTGTTCTTCACATAGCTGCCAGTGAAATATTTCTAAATCACAGATCAGATCACGTCACTACCCTGCTTAAACCCTTTGATAGTTATCTTCCTACCTCAAATACAGGCTCCAATGGGGAATGCATCATCTGGCAGGGTATGGCTCTGCTGGAATCTCTCTCTCTCTCTTTTTAAAAAAGATTTATTTATGCATACAAGAGCTGGGGTATAGGCCAGAGGTGTGGGGGGGGGGTGAGAGGACTCACCAGAGACAGAGTAGGGAGCAGAGCAGGTGGAGCTACTGAAACACACTGCTGAGGGGAGCAGCAGGCGAGACAGGAGAGGTCTGCTGGGCCATGTGAGTTGCTCCCTGGCCGGCCTGAGATCAAACTTGTCTGCAGTGGCTGGTGATAGCTTGATAGCCCCGTCTTTTAACCCCTGCGCCACCAGGAAGGCCCCCCTGCTGGAACCTGTAACCTCTTTCTGAGCCAGTAAGTCTGGATCACAATTTCAGAAGTTCTAAGTACTGAAATGATGATGCAGCTTCTGCCATATGAGATTACAAATAAAAGCAATACTAAATTGTAAAGGAGGTTTGGCTTTTATTTTACTTTTGATTTCTTTCCAAAAATATTCTACTCTGTCCGGCCTGCCTCTTGTTCCCTACTCTTGTTCCTGACTGGCCTTTCCTTTTACTGCTGTTGGAGAAAAAAAATAATTCTCCCTCTAGCCTTCTGGGTTCTTGGTTGAGACACCCCCTGTAATAGTCAGAAGTTTACTAACATGTATACCTCCTGTACACAGGAGAGAGACCCGGGAAAACTGAGTAACTCTCAGAAATGACCCAAGTCATCACCTCAAGTATCATCTTCAGTTAAAGACAACAGATGAGGGAGCCAGGAGCCAGTTGTGGCAGATTATTGGGAGTGCACGGCACACCTGGGTATGGTTGTTGTAGTGGGGCAACCAGGCAACCAGGGTAGGCAGGGGTGACTGGGTGCGGGGGTGGGGGCAGGCTGTTTGTAGACCCCGGGGAATCTTTACTCTTTCTCTCAGCTCTTTCTGGCATCCTCTCATGGCCTCTTCCTCTCATAGCCATTCTACCATGGCCATTTTTGTCTCTGAGTGATATCAGCTCCAGGCTTGGGTGTGCCCACTTGCGCGTGGCCACACCATACTCCATGTGTCCACAGTCAGGCACCTGTGCCTAGGCCCACGCTCCCAAGAGCCTTCTGCATTCAAGGCCCAGGTGATAGCCACAGAGGCCAGCAGTGCAAAAGCCTGACCAATTCACTCTCCCTATAGTTGTAGTGCAGACTTAAAGCCTCAGCCTTCTCCTTTGATAAGTTTCTAGACATTTGCACATCTTCCACTTCCTAGTACAGAGAGGGGAACGCCCTTATAAATGCAAATGTCTCTTATAAAAGGGTAACTTGGTTTTCAAAACTTTTCCTAAGTCTGTCATTTTTTACAAATAGCCAGTTCATAACAATCCTTCTGTCAAAGAGACATATTTGAGGGTGACAAATTCTGCTCCCCTTCAGTTCCTTCAATTCTTCATGCTCTTTCTGTAGGCTGTTCCTTCTGCCCAAATTTCTCCTCTTGCTCTCACTATAGCCACCTTGTCCACTTCTATTCATCCCTCGGACTCCACTGTGAAATCGACTCCCCAGAAAAATTTTCTCCAGGTGACTCCCAGTAATAGTATCCTGGGTTAAATGTGCTTGTATCCAGTGTGTGTCACCCATGCTGGCCCATAAATTCACAAGCTCACGTGCTCACATGGGCACATTCATAGTCCATGGCAGTGTGAAAACCACTGGAATTGAGTCTTGGGGCTAAGAGGCCCAAGTCTTGTTTCAACTTTGCCACAAATAATACAAGAATTTTGTGTGACCTTGGGCAAAGTGATTTCCTTTCATTGGGGAATCATTCACTTACTCAATAGTCATCCATCCATGCACTAATTTTGTTTATTCAATAGTCACTTGCTCACTGAAGCTTATGGAGCCAATTCTCTGTGGCAGGATGGTGGGGATTCAGAGTAAATTCAAAAGCAGGAGCTTCTAGCAGAGTGGAGAGAAAAACACATATCCCTCAGCATGTGACTAGCTAGGCACATGGAGACCTGTAGTAAATAGAGGTCAGGAGGTCACTGTAGACACTCAGAGGAGGTGGCAATTAATTCAGAACTAGGAAGGCTTTTTAAAAAAGTGTCTCTTGAAGAACTGAGAGACAGGGCCTCACTGATGGCGCAATGGGTTATCCAGGTTATTTGCAGCCTCTGCAGCAGGAGTTTGATCCCCCACCGGCCAGGGAGCAACACACATGGTCCAGCAGATTTCTCCTGTCTCACCCACTGCTCCCCTCAGCAGTGTATTTCAGTCAGTCTGCCTGTTCTGCTCCCCACTCTGTCTCTGCTGAGTCCCCTCACTCCCACACCTCTGGCCTGTACCCCAGTTCTTATATGCATAAATGATTAAATCTTTAAAAAAAAGAGAGAGAATTGAGCCACAGAGATATGCTGACCAAGGGCCTGCCTTTCAGAGTCCTTAGGTGCTTGTGGGCTTTTTGGGGAATGACCTCTTTGTTTACAATTCTCACCTGGCCTTCCACAAAAGCCTTCCATGAAAAAAATCATTTTTTTATTCCTGCCCCTTCAAAGATGCCTCTTTAGGGCTGCCTGAGTATCTTTGCCAAGGACTCCCTGCTACCTAAGATTTAGCCCAAGTTCCTCAGTCTGATATTCACGTGCTTACCTGGCCCACCTTCCTCTTCAAGTCTCTGCGCCTGCTGCTCCTCCATCTAACCTTTGTTTCAGCCTTGTCAAACTCTGCAAACGCCGTGTTCTCTGCCGTCGTGCCTTTGCTCATGCTGTTCTTTCTGCCCAGCTCCACGGACCTTCCTGTACCACATATTGCAATTAGCAATTTCTTTTTCTGTGCCATTATACTTCGCACATCATCTCAATTACTGCATTTACCACTTTCTATTGAAATTATCTGTGAGTGCCTAGCCATCAGGGATGCTCTCTGCGTTATAGTAAGATGGGCACACCTGGTCAAGATCTGATGGGTGTTTGTCTAAAAGAGTAAAAAACTGGAAGAAAATAGACTATTTTGAAAGGAAAGGGACAGATTTAACTTAATTCAGTTCGACATGTAGAAAGACCAATCTGTTCTTATTTTTATTTACTCAATAATTGTACCCATGAGTTTGGAGAATAAGGAGGGAAGAGGAAGAGATTCTGGCAGGGGACCACAGAGAAGGGGCAGAAGGAGCCAGGGTAGTCTGTGAAGAAAGGAGCAAAATCAAAGTACAAATCATGCTAATGGCTGCCGATGGGAGCCTCCCACGGCTCTCTCACCCCCGTCTCTTCCAAGTGTCTCCTTCATGTCCCCTAAGTCCAAAGCCAAGAAGCAAGCTTACCTTCATTCCCATGACTCTCTGCACCATGTGTCCCTGCCAAGTCTCCTTGTTCAAATCTTCTTCAGCTTCCCCTCTGTGCTCAGCTCCACCCTACCCTAGGTGGGGCAGGAAACATGGAAACTCCCTTTTGTATGGAGCCTGTCTGTAACGGGTGCAAAAGTCTAAAAAGGGTTGTTTACTTGAGGTCTTTATTTTCAATGCCCAGCAACCAGCTTGTGCTGAGCTGAACCTCAGTAAAGGCGTGTGGAAATGCATCCTGTTCTCTGTTGGAATAGCCTTTCCTTCCTTCCTGATGAGTGAGATTAAATTGGTCCTTCAATGTTGTTTAAATGTAACGTCTAGTGTGAAAGCCCTCCTTAGTTCTTACAGCACCCCCGGACTTCTCTCAGAGGCAGCGCTGAGCAAGTGGGTCACTCTGTTTGTTACTGGACTCCCCTACTAGGAGTGGGCAGTTTCTCTGGGGAAGTATCTGACTCAGATTTCCTAGCGTAGCAAAAGGTTTGACCTGGAAAAGCCCTCAATGAACATTTGTTGATCAAATGAAGTAATAAAGGTAGTGAATATTCAGAGCTGACCCTTAAAGGAGTGTGTAAGGGCAGGAACGGCCACAAGGCAGGTTTTCTATGATCCAGCAGACCGGGTAAAGGAGGAATCAGAGTCCTAGAGCCCTCAGTGGCTTTTGCAGGCTTTTATTGGGATTACCAGGTACATGGCAGGCAGGGATGCTGGGGGGCCAGTAGGCTGGCAGGCCTCCCAGCCCCCAGCAGGTCTTCACTCTGGTCTCTCTGGCCTTCTCTCGGCTTCTGCTGCTCTTGCTTCTCTCTCGGCTTCTTTTTTGGCTTCTACTGGCATCCCCGTGACGCCGCCCTTAAAAGCCCAGTCTCAGCCCAGGTGAATCCCATCTACCTATGCCCACACCCTATTCCAGGTGCCGCCATCAGGCATGCATTCAGGACCGCAAGGATCCATCATCTATCCCGATGGCGGGAGGGCAGAAAAGCCTGACATTTTTCCTTACCCAACAGAGTGCTTCTGTGTTCTCTCTCTACAGGCCCATTTTCATAAGTGGTGGGTGGAATGATGCCCCCCCCCCAACAACAGCTAGTTTATGCGCTACCGTCTACAATGCCCTATTTGTAAAAAAGGATCTCCAATGATCTCAAAATGAGATCTGGATGATGTGGGTGGGCCCCGAATCCAATTAGCAAGTGTCCTTATAAGGAAATGAAGAAAAGACATAGGATGAAAAGAAGTCCATGTGAAGACAGGCAGAGATTGGGGTTAAGCAGCCACACACCAAAGAATACCTTGAACTACCAGAAGATGAAAGAGGCAAGGAAGGAAGGATGCTCCCTTAGTCTTCTGAGAAAGCACAGCCCAGCTGATGTCTTGATTTTGAACTTCTGGTCTCTCAAACTGTGATAGAAAAAAATTTCTGTAGTTTAAAGCTGCCCAATTTGTGTCTTCTTGGTGGTGCAAGGGGTTAAGCACCGCACTATGAAGCAATCCTCAGCCACTGCAGCAGGAGTTCGAGCCCTGGCTGGCCAGGGAGCCACCCACATGGCAAGGCAGATCTCTCGTGACTCGCCTGCTGCTCCCCTCAGCAGTGTACTTGGGTCGATCTGCCTGTTCTGTTCCCCACTCTGTCTCTGGTGAATCCTCTCACCCCCCACATCTCTGGCCTGTACCCTAGCTCTTGTATGCATAAATAAATAAATCTAAAAAAAAAAAAAAACACAAAGCTGCCCAATTTGTGTGGATACAGGAGTTTCAGGAAATTAATAGAACTTGGAAACAAATATATTTTCTGTGTAATCCCACCAGATATTGGCACTGAATTGAACTGAAAGAGATTTAGCATTTTCATTTATTTCCTTCTCAACAAACACCTGACCACACACTCTAAGCTCCAACCATGGAGAACAACCCAGAGTTCCATAACAGAAGCCAGTGTGACATCTATGTTAGATCCAAAATGTCTTAAGACTTCTAAATACCCTGGAAAGAGTATGCTTACCTTTTAGTTAAAGATTTTTTAGTGCAATTATTATATGCCAAGTCCTGCACATGGCTATATATATATATATATATATATATATACATATATATATATATATGGATTTACTTAATTCCTACAGAGACCCTGTTTTTATTTTACAGATTGGATAACTAAAGTTGAGAGAGGGGAACTGGCTTGCCCAGGAACACATAGATAGAAGGTTGCAGAGATAAGATTCCAAAGTGTCTGATTATTGTTGTATCTGATTCTAAAACATTGTGTTCTTTCTGCTTTATCAGTCTAAGAGGTGAGGAAATTCAGTCTAAGGGGGGAGAAAAGCAGATAGGTATCCTTTCGAATGACTCAATGCTAATGTAGAAACAATTGCTATAGATTGCTATAGATGTTATCATTATGGTCAAGGAAACCTCTTCGTGGAAGAGGTGGCGTTAGGGCTGGTTCTTCACCTCAAAAAAAAAAACCATATAGTTGTAAGGCAGCTATGCTCACTCACCACTCTACCACCAACGAGGCATGATACAGAAAATAAATACATTTAATAAAAAGTTAAGAAACGAGACAAACAAAAACCATATACTTATACTTTCTTAGGCACTGGGAATTCAGAGCTGAATCAGATAAGGTCCTTTGGTTCAAGGAATCCAGGTGTGTATGTTTCTGCACGAGGGTGATATTCTTATTAAAAAACAATGCAATATATTACTTAGAGAAATACGGTAGAAGCAAGGTTTCTAACTCAGGGTCCTTGTGCAGCAGAGAAGCCTTTGGGCAGAAGAGCCCCCAGCCCTTGTTGAGGTTCGAGGTGTAAGTTAGCACTAGGAGGGGAAAAGAAAGTCTTTCTAGGGGACAGCATAAGTAACCTATCTTAGAGGTGAAACAGCGTCCTGGGTGCCGAACACCCCTTGCCTCTCAGCATGCTGGTTTGTGAAACCGCGAGGAGGGGCGAGGAGTTAGTTGTGAAACTCTAGATCGGACTGCCTGGCAGCTTTCTGACTTCAGTGCATCCTGCGTGGTGATTTTCCGCCCAAACATAAAATCAACCCTTTTCAATCCCGGCCAGCTAACAGCAACGCCTCGGAAAAGACTTCAAGCTGTCTGCGATTGCAGATGAGCCCTCGCCATCCCGCAGGCAGGACGGTACCATGGCAACTAGGTGAGGGCGGAAGTGGCTCGCTAGACTCTTACTAATCAGGTGACTCTCCCGCCCCCTGCACGTGACGCCGGCGCTTAGACACGCTCGCTACCTAATCAAATCCCGCCTCTCTTTCACTTTACTGGTAATTGACAGCCTCCTCAAGCAATGGTCCTGCAGTTCCACCAGGAGAGCCCGCCCCATGGCAGTGAAAGAACCAATTAGACTGGGAGAAAGAGAAGCCACGCCCCCGGGTTCACTCCGGTTTGACAGACGCAATTTAGGCCATCTTCGGGTCCCGCCTCCCCTAGCCAGTCCGAGCGGCGACCGACAGGCCTCTTACCCAATAGCTCGTCCCTTGGCTGCCGTTGGGTCCCGCCCCCGTGGGAGTGGAACCAATGGGCGCGTCAGGCCTCGGCGGGGCGGAGGGGCTGGCACTGCGGTAATATGGCTCTTCCCTGAGCCCCCGGCGGCGGCGGAGGTGGGCGAGCGCAGTCCTGCCTTCCCGGCGGCGGGCTTCTGGGCTGCGGGGCGCGGCTGGCCGAGCTAAGAGGTGGTGGCGGATGCCGGAGGAGCGCCGGCCCCGCCGCCGGGCGGCCCGCGGGTCGAGATGAGCGCCTCGGCGTCGGCGGGGGGCCCTGTCCCCTGCTGCCCCCGGCCCGGCCGCCGCGCTGCCCCCCGGCTCCGCCGCACGGGCCCTGCATGTGGAGCTGCCGTCCCAGCAGGTAACCCGGAGCCGCGGCGCTGGGAGGCCGCGACGAGCCCCAGAGCGGGCGTGCTGACCGTGCGCCCGCCGGGACACCCCGAGAACTGGCCGCGGACGACTCGGGGTGCTCCCGGGGGCCGGGGGGCGCTGTCGGGGGCTCTGCGAGGGCGGGATGCCCAGGGACGGCCGAACTCCTGGGAGGTCTCAGTTTCCCCGGAGAAATCCCGTTACAGGGGATGGGGCGTCAGAGACGGGGAGAGCCAGTGACACCCCGAGTCTCCCGAGCCCGCGGCTCTGCGGGGAGCTGGGAAGACCCTCCTCCTTGGCCCTCCCGGGACTGAGCCCGCGACGCCCCGATGTCCCACCGGGAGAGCGCTTTCCTCTCTCCCCGTGGCGGGGACGCCGCCTGGTCGTCCTCGCAGCCCGAGGAGCGAGGCGTCTGGAGGATTGCTGGCATTTACTTTGAATCCCCTTTTATTATGCATTGCTCCTCAATTCCTTAAAAGAGACCAATTTGGGACTTTCTTCCCGGTCCTCAGACCTCCGGGCGACGCATTTTAGCAGTTTAGGGAGACGCTTTCCTACTCGATTCCCTCAGAGGCGCCGCCGTGGAGTGAGGAGCTGGGGTCTGTGTTCCTGTGTCCCCCACCCTTCAGCAAGGGCCGTGGGGGGCTTCTTGGAGCCACGTTGCATGGTGATAAGAAAGAGGGAGACTGACTTTGGCGATCTGACAAAATTCTTTGCTGTTATCTCTCTCTTGCCCTTCGCTCCCCGGAGAGGAGACTTTGCAGGAGGATTAGCTTTTTAAAGTGACTGAGAGTCATCATCTAGCTCCCTGTCCAGGTTCCTCCTTCCTAGGAGAGGACTTGAGGGCAAGTGTCAGTTCTTGAGAGTTTACCACGTTGAATTTATGCGAGGTGATCAAAGCCTGCCGTTCATTTAATCCTCACGATTTTATGAGAGAGCTAATTTTATTATCTCCATTTTGCAGTTGAGTTAAAGACGTAAAATCACTTGTCCAAAGCCTCGCGGTTAGAAAGTAGTGGGGCTAGAGTCAGAGCAGGCAGCGCGTGCACGTGGTCGTGGTGTCTGAGACATCAGTGACCTCTCCACTGCCACGCAGGACAGAGTGAGAGCTCCTTCACGCTCTCCGTCCAACTCCCCATCCCTGCCATGGGCCCTGAGATACCTAAGGAAGGAGGTAGAGGTTGGGAGCAAAGTGTAGGTGAGAAATGAGATGGATCTGAATCGAGGGAAGTTGAGTGAGAGGAGTTAGAGATAATCAGTCAATATAGTGGTGGCCATTGATTTGAGTTATTTGCAGAAGCAAGAACTTTTTGTGATTTAAAAATCTGGGATAGGCAGATCTTGCTATAAGATTACCTAAATGTGCCTATGCAGGCATCTCTGTTTCTTAATAAACCTTAATAAACTTTCTTAAAATGGGCAAAAAAAAAAAAAAAAAAAAAGGACTAGGATAGCATGTGTCCCGGTGTTTTGATGCTGTGATGCTTCTGGGAGGGTAGGGAGTATGAGGAGTTTGAGGGTACTTTGGTTTGAATTGTATTTATGAGGTGCTAGGAGAGAATAAAAGTCTGATGGTAGTGGTGGGCTAGACTTTGGAATGAACATTAATGTTAATTTTTTGCGGGCGCGCCCGTGTGTGTGTGTGTGTGTGTGTGTGTGTGTGTGTGTGTGTGTAGGTGTGGAGGTGTGTAAGGGTGGAGACTAGGAGAGGTAATGGTGAACACTGAAGAAAATCCTGAGTGACAGAGGGCCAAGGGGCGTTTAGTTTGGGGGATTTTTGAGAAAATGAGATTAAGAAAGCGAAAGCAAGCCAAAAAAAGGAGAGAGAAAGAGAAAGCATTTGCTGGATAGTGCCTGATCTCCATCATTAGGTGAAACAATTCCAAATAGACTGCCAGCGGGATAAATTCAACAGCTTTTGTAAGCGTTTATCACAGTTTTGGATTAGTGCATAAGGATATATAGTGGCCTGCGTGTACAGCTGAATGCAGTTGAGGCCTGAGTGGTATTTGCAGCTTTCTGGGGGTGTCATCCTCTTGAAAGCTTGGAAGGCAGTCTATCACAACAACTTTTACTTTTGCAGTTGACTGTAATTTAGCTTTCCAGGTCAAAATGCTGAGGTTTTAGTATACAAATATAAAACATTAAAAAACTAAACATTTTTGTTAAAGTATTAGCTATATGCAATAAAGAACACCAATTATTAGTACACAACTTAATGAATTGTCACAAAGTGAATGGTTATAGAACTATTGCCTGGATTAAGAACAGAATTATTAGAGTCCCAGAAGCTTCTCTTATATTCTCTCCCCTACAGGGTTACCTTTTCTTCTCTCCCGAAGGACCATTTTGATTTGACCATTTTAAGAGATCAGTTTTTTCCTGTTCTTGGACTGTATATAAATTGAGTCATGCACAATATAGTCTTTTGTGTCTGTTTTCTTTTGCTCAGTATGTTCTTGAGAGTCATAGGATGTGTCTTTATAAACTCATGTTTTAGCATTAATTTACTGTCTTTGCCTGTGGCTTTTCACAGGTTTTGATAAGTAAGAAATAATAAAATTTTCAAAGGTTTAGATAAATTAGAATTCCAATAATTATCTTAAAAATAGTTGGAAAATTGTGTTATTTTAATAGATCTGGTGCTATTTGATAGGTGTCACTATTTATTTCTACAAACCCTGTTATTTTAAGATTTCTGCAATAAGTTGATTATCTCAAAGCATAACTTCATTGGTTCCCCCAGCCTTCTTCTAAGACAAGGTTTTTTCAACATTTTGAGGGGGTAGATGGGGCTATAAAATTTTTAGCCACATTTTTGGCCACTACCCACCTGCCTATTTCGAACAATCAAAAAACAATTTCATATGTTCCGTTTTGTCCCTTAGGGAAGACCTTTGCTCCTGGTTAAACCACTGTTCTAAGGTATACAGTATTTTCATTTTAGGATAGCGTATCCTTGCTATTATCAGTTATTAAGTCCCATTGATTCTAATGGCTGTAATGTTTAAAATACTAATGTTCCAAAAGCATTGGACTTTCCCCCTTCACATCTGCCTCCAGAAAAACAACTTTATTTTTGCTCAAAGAAAGTCCATAAAACTATGTCTAAGGACTTATTCTTGTTTCAATCTACTTATCTTTGAAAGAAAACTTAATTAAGATTGCGCAGCTCTTGAGCCTTTACAAGCTGCAGTACTAACTATAGTCCAGAGTAACTATTTGATTACTATTTGATATGAAACTCTTAATTTTTTTCTCCTTTTGTTTCTGTGTGGTCTTTAGCTAAAATTTAAGCATGAACTATTCAAACATTTTGAAGATTGTTTTGGCTCTTTGATTTGTAGTTGAAGTTTGTAAGTAACTAGTGATATAAATTCCTCTGAAGAATAAGAAAGGATGAATAACTTCCCTCATACCCTTAGATTTAGGAATCTTGAAATAAAAATGTGTTTTGTGGTAGAGACATTTAATACATAGTTAAAAGCTTAAGTGAGAGCATTTCTTTCCTCCCCAAAGACTTCCTCACTTGAAGATAATCTAACTGTGTTTCTCAGATACTGAGCTGGGGAGTCTTTTTAGTGATTGTTCACTTTTGGGGAATCGCATATTCCTTTAAGAATTTGGTAAAAGCTATAGACTTTCCTTCGAAAATACATTTACATACTTAAACACAATCTTGTGTGCAGGTTTGGTTCTTTTTAAATATAAATGGAAGGCCCCAGATTAAATAGTTCTATCCTGCTTTAATCCCATCTTTTATTTTATTTATTTATTTTTTTAAAGATTTATTTGTTTATTTATTTATACAAGCACTGGGTACAGTCAGAAGGGCGGGAGGGTGAGAGAATTCACCAGAGCCAGAGCGGGGAGCAGAGCAGGCAGAAAGACCGAAGTACACTGCTGAGGGGAGCAGCGGGCGGCAGGAGAGGTCTGCGCGCCATGTGGGACCCTCCTCTGGTGGCCGGGGAGCAGCGGGGGATCTAACTGGCGCTGCAGAGGCTGCGGGCAGCTTTGCTTTGCAACCCAGCGCTCAACCACTGAGCCACCGGGGAGGCCCTAATCCCATCTTTTAAAAATTGACCTTTTCAGTTTATTATTTTTCCTAGACGGTTGTCCATGTCACTATATACACATCTGCCACATTTTGCATAACAATGTTCAGTTATGTTTAACATCCCATTATTAACTTTTGGATTACTTCAAGTTTTTCTGTTCTATTGTTTGGAATTAGTATGTGTGTATGATGTCTATGGGATAAATTTTGAGCAGTGAAATAACTCAAAGGATATATATTTCTTTTTTAACTTTAGAAGACATTAGCGAAGTGTTTCTCAAAAAGAACATGCTTATTACTTCTGCCACCAAATTATGACTTCTACTTACCTGTTTATGTTTATGTCAACTTTGGGCATCATATGTTTTCTCAGTGTTTTCCAATTTAGTTTTAGTTTAATGTATGCAGATTTAAAAACATATATTAATTTGCATAGACACATATTTTTGTTATTTAAATTAGTATTTCTTAAATTAATACTTATATTTTAATAACTTTGTTTACTGCATACCACTCTAAGTACATGATCTCATTTATCCTTACACAACCCTATGAGTTTCAATATCTTTGCATAGATTTTTGCAGCATTTTAATTTCTTTGTGAATTGCTTCTTCATGTTCTTGGCATTAAGTTTTCTAATTGCTACTCAGTATTTTTCATTAATTTTTGAAGAGCATTTTTTCCTTTTGGGGGGAAAGGAGATGAAGTATTTGAATTTTTAGGGGGCATGTGAATGCCTTTTTTATTGTTTTTGTTATTATTTTGTCTATCCATCATCCCTCTTGCACTTATTCTGATAACTTTAATTTACTACCCTACCCTTTCTTTGGGGAATGGTTTCCCTTGCCCCATGTATTTTTTTTTTTTAAGATTTATTTATTTATGCATACAAGAGCTGGGGAACAGGCCAGAGATGCCGGGGGTGAGAGGATTT